AATAGCATTATATGATAACAACGTTGACACGTGCCATTCGTGCCACAATGCCAGGACTGTGGCACTTGCCGTCCATGCCACAATGCCAGGACTGTGGCACGCACCCTCCATGCCACAATGCCAGGACTGTGGCACTTGCCGTCCATGCCACAATGCCAGGACTGTGGCACTTGTCGTCCATGCCACAATGCCAGGACTGTGGCACTTGCCGTCCATGCCACAATGCCAGGACTGTGGCACTTGTCGTCCATGCCACAATGCCAGGACTGTGGCACTTGCCGTCCATGCCACAATGCCAGGACTGTGGCACTTGTCGTCCATGCCACAATGCCAGGACTGTGGCACTTGCCGTCCATGCCACAATGCCAGGACTGTGGCACTTGTCGTCCATGCCACAATGCCAGGACTGTGGCACTTGCCGTCCATGCCACAATGCCAGGACTGTGGCACTTGTCGTCCATGCCACAATGCCAGGACTGTGGCACTTGCCGTCCATGCCACAATGCCAGGACTGTGGCACTTGTCGTCCATGCCACAATGCCAGGACTGTGGCACTTGCCGTCCATGCCACAATGCCAGGACTGTGGCACTTGCCGTCCATGCCACAATGCCAGGACTGTGGCACGCGCCCTCCATGCCACAATGCCAGGACTGTGGCACGCGCCATCCGCGCCACAGTGCCAGGACTGCGGCACGCGCCCTCCATGCCACAATGCCAGGACTGTGGCAGTAGCCGTCCATGCCACAATGCCAGGACTGTGGCAGTAGCCGTCCATGCCACAATCCCAGGACTGTGGCAGTAGCCGTCCATGCCACAATGCCAGGACTGTGGCACTAGCCGTCCATGCCACAATCNGAATGAATGATGGCATGAATGTTTGGTAGTGTGGAGAATGAATGATGGCATGAATGTTAGGTAGGGTGGAGAATGAATGATGGCATGAATGTTTGGTAGTGTGGAGAATGAATGATGACATGAATGTTTGGTAGTGTGGAGAATGAATGATGGCATGAATGTTTGGTAGTGTGGGGAATGAATGATGGCATGAATGTTAGGTAGTGTGGAGAATGAATGATGGCATGAATGTTTGGTAGTGTGGAGAATGAATGATGACATGAATGTTTGCCTCAAAGTGAAATTCTAGGCACGGTGGTTCATATATTCCATCCTGGTAATTAAATCATTTCCAAAATATCAGCTAAAGATGAAAGGCAAATACAGATCTGGATTTTTATATCCAAAATGATACTATGTGCACTTATTCATACATCAAGTCACGCTGAATTTCACCCTGGACTAAAATGGCAAAGTGCCTCCTACACCACAGCCATGAAGCACCAGCCACGTCCAAGAACCAAGCTAACGAACCTTACCATAAATTTTGGTTCTGAAGACATTATAACACGCATTATAGTGTTCAGAAGCACGTTATTAACTTGCAAGTTAAACTTAACGTTAGTTCAAAACACATTATATTTAACTAACACTTAGAGCTCCAATATACACTTACAAAAATGGATGGGTTAAACTGTCAAAATAGTGACACACCTTCTGCAGGTAGCACTGATACACTATTTTTTCCGGAGCAAGCTGGGGGCAGGATGACTAATAGACGGAAAAATATGCATCGCTATTTGAAATGCATATTTTGCATTCTATAGAAATGTCGAGAAAAATATGCTATAGAAATGACTCTATAGAAATATAGAGACGTCTATAGAAATGGACGAGAAAAATATGCATTTCATTCTTCTCGCCCATTTCTCTCAGTGTAGTTGCACATCACACTAGAAATAAACTAGCAGGCAATGACCGAAGATTTGGTCGAAAAGTTCAACTTTCATAATCCTACAAACACGCGCACAGAACCCCTAACTAAAACGGAATTTCGTCACGTTAGCAAGTTTCGATTTTTTGACATGGCGGGAAAATGTGCAACTACCGCACTGTTGACATGGCGGGAAAATGTTTTACTACCGCACTGTTGACATGGCGGGAAAATGTGTAACTACCGCACTGTTGACATGGCGGGAAAATGTGCAACTACAGCACTGTTAACATGGCGGGAAAATGTGTAACTACCGCAATGTTAACATGGCGGGAAAATGTGCAACTACAGCACTGTTGACATGGCGGGAAAACGTGTGACTNGCCCGGAAAAACTGACCTATCACCCCCCCCTCCCTAGTCGCCACTACCAGGATGGGTAATAACAACAACGTAAAATATTGCGATTGCAAGAAGATATTCACCTCTGCCTTTGTCATGAACTTCCAGTAAACCAATTAACTGATGTAAGACGGGGAGGTACCTTACTTTAAATGACATGCATGGAGGTTGTTAACCTACATTGAAACTACGCTCGCTGAGGAAATGTATGTATCACATTGTCCAAAGAGTGATACACTATTTTACCCACAGCAATAAGAGAGAGTGGACCTAGCACTGACACACCACTCCACAGACACACCACTCCACAGACACACCACTCCACAAAACCAAACTGGGTCAGGATGACCTACCTACACAAGGACAAAATAAGCACCGCTATTAGGGGGGGGGGGAAGTCTCCTCGTTTCTCGAAACCTATTCAGTTCAACGTAAACAAAAATAAGAAACTGCCTGCTCAATCGCAAGTAACGGTACCTATCAAGGCTGACAATATGACAAGGCTGCCGTCACACAACAACTTTAAATGTCTACAAATGTTGTGTAGATACAAGATACCAAGCTGCTAGATGGCACTAGGAGCTACACTAGGATCTTCAAGAGAAATATTAATTCTACAAGAAGCTTGTACAGAGAGTGGCTTATGCGCCAGCTGCTTGAACAATCATACTTGAAANGAGGCTCTGCCGGGCAGTAATTTGTCAGCTGGTCGAATTAATTACTGTTGGAAAGGATGTCTTAGATCGTTTCTTCAGATTAGTACAACTCAAGAGGTTTCCAGAGCCGTTCCACTCAAAAGGTTTTATCAACGCTTACATCAAGAGCAGTACAACTCAATAGGTTATATCAAGGCTTGCATCAATTCAAGTGCATCTAATATCATCACTTGCATCGCACATCAGGCATCAGTAGAGGAACAGGATTGAACAAGCGCTATATTTTAACGTTCACGAGAAATCAAGTATATATGAAATGTGAAGCTCCAGACTGAAAAAATGATTATAATTTAATGTATTTAACAATTTTAATGTTAACCGAGGGCTTAGACGAGGCAAAATGTCCAGAAATCTAAACCTGATCCAGGATGTATGCTATTCTACAGGGATAATGCTAAGATAATAGCAAATATATCTCATCTAGTTCATTAAAGCACAACTGAAGTACAAATTCTGTGTCACTTGCACTTTAGGTTGCACATTTATGCAAGAAGCAAGCGTGCACACAAAGCTTGACACATCATGTGACGTGTTACGTAATTTGTACGTAGCAGTTAGCTTGTCGTGAAACATTTGTTTTTTCTTTGTGTCATGGAGAACTGCCCATGGCACACAGTTCGTCTTTATTCAACAGCTCTACTGTCAGAAGAAACGCTGTTGATAGTCATACTTATCTTCTCAGACCGGGCAAAAAGACAACATGCATACAACTATAGGAAGAGCGTACATGAAATAAATGTACCAGGGAACGTACTATCAGAATTAGTTAAGAGNATGTACTTAGGCCGCAACATGTACTTAGGCCATTACATGTACCTACTTAGGCCATTACATGTACTTAGGCCGCAACATGTACTTAGGCCATTACATTTACTTAGGCCGCAACATGTACTTAGGCCATTACATGTACTTAGGCCATTACATGTACCTACTTAGGCCATTACATGTACCTACTTAGGCCATTACATGTACTTAGGCCATTACATTTACTTAGGCCATTACATTTACTTAGGCCATTACATGTACTTAGGCCATTACATGTACTTAGGCCGCAACATGTACTTAGGCTGCTTTGCGTACTAAAGCGCGTTGTGATAGTACCGCCCCAGACCACAATGCAGTGCAGTGGTAGCAAGACCACCTGGACTAATGGACTCAAGCCCAAGTCTCGTTATAATCTGAACTACGCCACGTCTGAAGCGAGACTCTAACAATGATCTATCGTCATTGTATAGTAGATTGTCACCACACTTCTACTAGTGTGCAGTGGATACATCTGCGATACATAAACTATCACTGCACAGCATGGAAGATATATATCTTGACTTGAACAGAAGTTGCTCATGACGAAAATCAAGAGAAATGATTTGTAACAAAACTGAAAAAATATTCAAATGATATCAAGCGCTTTTGAAGAAGAACAAACTCTACGTCCCAGCAAATGGAACACACAAATTATGAACAAGGATTGCAATATGAACTTCTGAATACAAAATCACGCACTCGTTGTATTGAAAAATTGTCGTGAATTGCAACTGGGATTACAAGAGAAGAAAACAGGAGGCTCCTGCGAAGATAACAAAGCATATTTTACTGCTAGCGACGGCCGTACAATAATTGTGAACAGCTGATAGCAGCTGCGATCTTAAGGGTAGGATATAATATGAAGAGGGGAGAAAAATGTTACATGTTGAGTGAGATGAAGTTGAGGAATATGAGGAGAGGAGTAAGAAGGAGGAGTAGGAGGTAAACAACGGGTGATAAACATTGAAAATGGTAGGAGAGCTTCAAGAGGTAGGAGGAGAGCTTCAAGAGGTAGGAGGAGAGCTTCAAGAGGTAGGAGGAGAGCTTCAAGAGGTAGGAGGAGGTAGTGGACTGGAATACAAATCAAGAGAAGTGTGGACTGGTCGTAGGAAGAGAGTGAAGTTTGGACTGGTCGTAGGAAGAGAGTGAAGTTTGGACTGGTCGTAGGAAGAGAGTGAAGTTTGGACTGGTCGTAGGAAGAGAGCGAAGTGTGGACTGGTCGTAGGAAGAGAGCGAAGTGTGGACTGGTCATAGGAAGAGAGCGAAGTGTGGACTCTGTCTCTTATACACATCTAGATGTGTATAAGAGACAGAGTGTGGACTGGTCGTATGAAGAGAGTGAAGTGTGGACTGGTCGTAGGAAGAGCGTAAAATGTGGACTGGAACAGCATTGCGTGTTGCATTAGTGGGCGGGGGGCACCAGTCCAGGCTGTGGACTGCCGGACATAGCAGTTCCCGGGCCGAGGACGAGCTGAAAAACATTTTAAAAATAAGCAACCACAAAAATGTCCTTATTGATTTATTCCAGGTTCTGGATGCAACATACATAATTTTAATAGTAAACTAGGTTAAAGGAAGTCAAGTACTTCAAAATTTGATGCCAATAATCTTTATATATGTTAACCAAATTTCATCAGTCTCATCCATCTTAGGAGGAAAACTCTAACTTGTTGCTTTCTCAAATGTAATGTTTAGGGAAAAGTTAATTGTAAATGGAAGATTACGTGATAGTTTCTCAAGTCAAACATATGTATATAATCTATGAGTTATCTATTCTCACTTTCAAGTGATATGCTTTATGGAGAATTATACATTCTAGGCAATATTTTTTTTAGATTTTAAGTAAATTAAACTGATGACTAAACTAGCAGCAGACCGAAAGCCAGTAGATTGCGTCACCTTATCTATGGAAGTATCCCCTTATCTACAGTAGATTGTCACCTTATCTACGGTAGATTGCGTCTCCTTATCTCTGAAAGTATCTCCTTATCTACACTAGATTGTCACCATATCTACGGTAGATTGCGTCACCCTATCTATGGAAGTATCTCCTTATCTACAGTAGATTGTCACCATATTTACGATAGATTGCGTCACGTTATCTACAGTAGAGCCTCACCTTATTTCTATCCTGCTTGATCATCTCTTCAGCATTGAGACGCTCCACCTCGAACAGCACAGGAGCGAACAGCAGCAGCGACGTGGTAGCGGTGAACCACACCAGCTGGCGAGACAGGCTGTAGCCATCTGCACACAAGTTATAGGGACTGTAGCCATCTGCACACAACTTATAGGGACTATAGCCATCTGTACACAAGTTATAGAGACTGTAGCCATCTGCACACATGTCAGATACATTGCTCTTAACATATTGCAATACACTTCTCCCATAGTTTGCATGCACGGCAGAGTAGCAAGTTTAAATTTCAGACAATAGATAGAGTCTTATAGGAGAATGGTACAAAAAATATCTATTCTCAAAAAGTTTACTTAAAAATAAAGAGCACAAGTTGAATACAAGTTTATCTTATCACATTTCTAAGTTCATACTTTAATTCTAGGGAATACAGTTCCTAGTTTGCAGAAAGGGATGCATGATCAAAAAAAATTATTGAGAGAGTTGTAGTTGTTGCTTGAGCAAAAGAGGGGAAGCCTGGCTTGAGGCAAGCCATCAAACCAATTACATTAGCAATAATATGAGTGAAAAAATAATGAAAACAATCCATTAAAAAAGTAACTAATGAAAAATATCTGAGGCTACTATAGGTACATATTCTCAACAGAGAATTTATTATTGCCAATGTGTTTTACAATTTCAACATCTTTTTTTATTCTTTTTTTATTCAAGCTCAAGTGAACAAATATGAATGAGTATATAATGAGAATTAAATTCTAAACTTACTAGTGATTAGCTTCAAAGAGTTGGATGCCAGGCAGCAGGAGACGTTGCGGACAGAGTCGGGGAACATCTCAGTCAGGCCAACCAGTCGCTCAAATAGAGACTCATCAATGTCCTGAAAATATAGTCCAGCATGAATTTTCCAGATATAATAAATCGTGAATTTCAATCAAATCACAGATTTGATTGAAACTAATTATGCAACTGCAAAATCAATGCATGGATGAACTTGAAATTGTGCAGCTCATATTCATTTCGTAAAAAGCAAAAAATCTTAAATTTAGAAACTATACAAGAAATAGGTACCGTCAACTGGGGTGACTTCGGCCACCACTACAACAGAAACAAATGGCAGCAAAATAAAATAATAAACATTGGCCAAACTCATCCCAGTTAACGGTACACAATTTTTAAGTTGTCATCACTTAATTTTTTTATAACAATGTATTTTTGTAAAATTTATTACTCAATGAAATTTAACTAGCAAGGACTTAATACAAATTGTATCAGCTTGCACCATTAGTATGAGAACACATCTTATTTATTTTAATTGGAGACTTATTGCAAGGCAAATTTATGAAATTTTGTACAAGTGGCATTAGTACAAAATAGTAAAATATTTATGCTACATGAATGGCTGGAAAGCTACACTCACAGCTCTAAAGTAGACATTGTCCACATGAAAGCTTACACACCGTATTTGGAGCTGTAGGATTTCTGCTAAATTTAGTATGGAAATCAATTCACCAAGCCACAAATTAATTTAGGAGTTTATAAATATTGCAGAAATAAAAAAATACATTTTGACCCATGAATCCTATCCTATATCAAACTATGACTACCTACTTGATATTCTGACATTTTGTATAGCTCTGTGTCACTGCAGGGTACTACTCCGTTTTTAGAATACTATACCTCAGCCCTCACTCCTCACTCATACTCATAGATATTCCAACTGAGATAATGAACTCTTGCTCTGCAAGATTTCATATTATTCAAAAAGATGCAATTTTGTGGTCATAATACAAGAGTGGAATTTTCCTACTTATAACTGAAATTTTGAGGCTCAAAATTTGATACATTTTAATACATTATTTAAAATCTTGCAACCTGATTGTGCCCATTTGTCAATAATTAGATTATTTAGACAGGTACTTGAGTAGATAAGAGCCTAAGAAGGTAATTGATCTAGCAGAATTTTTTTGGTTCTGAAAATGGCAGGAAGGTTCCTAGTTGCAGCTTTGCAGGCAAGCGTGGAAAACATCTACCTTAAAGGCCACAACTAGAGGTTTCCTGCCATTTCCAGAACTGCGAGATTTCTGCCACTTGAATAACCTCCTATCCAATTGTTAACAAAAGTGCACGATAGGGCCACAGGCCCGCTCTGCGAGATTGCAAATGGATTAAAAATTTGTCACGTTGGAGCCGCAAAATTTCAGAAACAAGTAGGAAAATTCCAAATTTCCAATCCTGTACATAATATTATAATAAAAAATTAATTTCTTTCCCAACTTGCACATAGGGTAAATGCGGTATATTCTGACATTGTGGGTAATTCCAACACCTCTCTAGCTTTTCATTTATATAAAACTTTGTCGTAGTTCAACGCATTAGTTGATGGTTGAAATAGTGACGTCATACCTTTGCGCGCCAAACTATTGCCAAAACACTAGGTTTGGGCCGTCTGGCGGGAAAATGTTGAGATCCAAAGAGAGACAGTGCACGCCACCCAGCAAGATCATCGAAAAATGTGTCAAAGTTGACAGTTGACCTTGCTCTACCAAATAGTGATAAACTGTTTGTGTAGAAAGAATATTATGGTTTGAGACTTTTGAATAAGTCTGTGAATATATTAGGAATCCTTTAAGTATACTTGTATACTACACGCTCATCTCGCATCATGAATATGAAAACGTTAAATTCAGCATCAATAGATCTGTAGGAGTTATAATATGTTCTGATTACCAAGCTAAGTGATAGAACTAGAATTAGTTTAGAAATAAAGTCAACATTCAGAGGCAGTTTACCTGCGTTGTCGCTAGAAGTTCTTGGATGCCACGAGGTGTTCATCGGTCGCCAAGTTGTGTTTCCTTGAGTCATACACTCAAATAACGAAGTTAACTTTGTCTTAAAAGGTGATGAAATATCTTTCACTCTTGTGTGGGTCATTCTGACCCTGTTTGGCCCAGCTGAAAAGCACATCAGTGTTAGATTCACTCTCTGCTTGAGCTGCCGATTAGAAGCGTCGCTATTCGGACAACACGATCCATTTATTTCCCTCAGTGCAATAGGATCCTTACTTAAGGCCACCAATCAAACGCGAATTAAGTTTGTCAGCCAGCCCACTAAATGATTTTGTTCTAAATATTATGAACCTAACTCCACAATTGTACCGAGCGTACAACGTACAGCTGCCGATCAGCATAGCCTTCAATTGGAGTTGCATGAAACCAGCCTAACACCAACATGCCGCGGAGAGAATAAGCCGTCTGTACCAACACGTCAGCGTCATCTTCTTTTAAATATTAAAAAACCTAATAAAGAAAATTTGCAGGTGAGAAATCGTAGCTTTGTTGAATTACGTCGGTAGTCTCTTCCTGGATAATATCAGGTTAGGTTAGGCCGGTAGAGTTGTGATCCAAAATCGGCGACTGACTGTTGATCGAGGGCTGATTTGCTGCATGGCATGAATGTGTGGTTGTGTGGAGAATGAATGATGGTATGAATGTTTGGTATAGTAAGGAGAATGAATGATGGTATGAATGTTTGCTAGTGTGGAGAATGAATGATGGCATGAATGTTAGGTAGTGAGGAGAATGAATGATGGCATGAATGTTTGAGGTAGTGTGGAGAATGAATGATGACATGAATGTTTGGTAGTGTGGAGAATGAATGATGGCATGAATGTTTGGTAGTGTGGGGAATGAATGATGGCATGAATGTTAGGTAGTGTGGAGAATGAATGATGGCATGAATGTTTGGTAGTGTGGAGAATGAATGATGACATGAATGTTTGCCTCAAAGTGAAATTCTAGGCACGGTGGTTCATATATTCCATCCTGGTAATTAAATCATTTCCAAAATATCAGCTAAAGATGAAAGGCAAATACAGATCTGGATTTTTATATCCAAAATGATACTATGTGCACTTATTCATACATCAAGTCACGCTGAATTTCACCCTGGACTAAAATGGCAAAGTGCCTCCTACACCACAGCCATGAAGCACCAGCCACGTCCAAGAACCAAGCTAACGAACCTTACCATAAATTTTGGTTCTGAAGACATTATAACACGCATTATAGTGGTTAGAAGCATATTATTAACTTGCAGTTTAAACATAACGTTCAAAACACATTATATATAACTCCGACTTACAGATCCAATATATACTTACAAAAATGGATGGGTTAAACTGTCAAAATAGTGACACACTTTCTGCAGGTAGCACTGATACGCTATTTTTTTAGGCAAGCAGGTGGCAGGCTGACCAATAGACGGGAAAATATGCATCGCTATTTGGACAACGTCTCGTCCATTTCTCTCAGTGTTGGTGCACAACACACCATTACACTAGAAACAAACTTACCGGCAATGACCGAAGCTTTGGTCGTAAAAATAACTTTCATAATCTTACAAACACGCGCACAGAACCCCTAACTAAAACTGAATTTCGGTCACGTTAGTAAATTTCGATTTGTTGACATGGCGGGAAAGCGTGTAACTACCGCACTGGACGCAGCAAATTTTCTTTACAGTAAAAACGAAGTTTGCAGCAGTGACCGTATTTAGTGCTAGGCAATATTTCACTACAATTTAATTTACATAATTTGCCAGGTAAATATTTTAATACTTTTAATTTTCATCGCTAACTTCCGAGTACGTGAAATATATTTCAATGCTCGAGAATACTGGTAACTCTACACCACTAGGCCAGGGCCAAGTGAAGAGTTCTTGCGTAGATATTTACTGATATTTTCATGATATATTATGTATGTTGCAGACGAGTAACATGCCATCAAATATTGAAGTTCCAAATTATTTTACGTAACATGAACGGCTTCAAACTTTCAGGAGACTCCATGCGCTGGATTCCAGGCGATCATAGCGCTTCTCTTGACGACCTCAGGACATCTGCTCACTCCATATTGTACTTCCTTCCAACATGAATCCATTCATCTGTCTAACATGAAGCGAGAAGTGTTCAATGTTTAAATGATTCTCGAAGTGAATGAGAAATAACTTATCTTTACAGTTTCTTTTAATAAAGCGAGACGAACAGGGCTGCCAGCAGCACGAGGATTATTTTCAAGTTATCAAATCAAAAGACACAAGTCGCCACTCCGCCATCATTTTATTGCATTACACAGGAGGACGAGATGCGCCACATTTAATTCTATATTTACAGACGTCAAGCGCTGCACATAACATTAATAAATCCTATAAAACACAAGGGGATGCCGACACTGAGATGAAACTTCTCAACTTCTGTTCCACAAAGCTGTGCTACGTAAATAATTACAAGCAATGAGCCACGGCAAAAACAAAATCCAATAATACATGGCTCGAGTTCATGCAAGTTGGTTGAAAATCACCCGGCCTAAGTGGGTCAAGCGTCTCAGCCGAAGTGGTTCAATAGCCTTCAATCCAACGCTCGACGCGTGAACGTAAAAGATGTGGTGGTGCAGTGGTGAGAGGCTCTGTTTCTCGCACCCAGTGCCCGGGTTCGAGTCCCACTGAGGACAAGTTCTACCGGGAAGCTCAGCTCATGGTCAACTCAGCCATTCATCCAACTCTGGTTGATAAATGAGTACCTGGCTTGTCCAGGGTGTTGTGTAATGCAACCAAATGGTTCTGGCGGGTCAGCGAGCCAGTTAACTCCTCCGTATTGCTCCTCCATCACTCCCCCGCCATCACACTCCACAAGACTCCCCTCCACCAATCACTCCCCTCATTTTTTTCCAGTGCAGTAACTGCAGTCACTGCAGTTACTGCAGTTACTGCACTACGTTACTCCAACGTCAGATTCACGGCGGGTGGAGGTAAAACTCCACGGGCTTTACTCCTGACATTCAATTACCTCTTGCAGCAGGCGGTGAGGCAAACGGTTTAGTAATTACGACTCAGAAAAACGAGTTAGAAGTTGTCTTAATAGTGATGCCCGTTGTCCCTATAAGTGGGTCATCTCGACGCAGTTGGACCGACAAAAGGACATATCACTATCACTGCTACACGTAGGAACGGTGTCATTATTGGGACAATTTAACCCCTTCATTTTTCTGCTAGGGAAGACACGAGGGTACTGAGGACAAATTAAAGTTGACGTTCCCTCGGAAATAACAAAGCAAATAATATTAGAATAAATTATTACTATAAAAAAGCAAATATTATTCTAATAAAATATTACTATAATAAAGCAAACATTATTCTAATAAATTATTACTATAACAAAGCAAATATTAGTCTAATAAATTATTACTATAACAAAGCAAATATAATTCTAATGAATTGTTATTATTACAAAGCAAATATTATTACTATAAAGCAAATAGTAATATAATTTATAATTTATTATCATAACAAATTGAAGCAATTATTATTATGAACCTAAGGAACTTTCAGTCTCGCTGGGTCTGCATTTTTATTTGCCGGTCATTGAAAATGTTGCGTATTTTCGATGCAGTTTTTGAGCGGAAAAAATGTTTCATTTTGTCGCCAGGCAACACGCGGCGGCCGGTGATCCCTGCCGTCCCTGCGCTGCCTCGTGGACGCCATATGGACGGCTCATGGACGACACATGGACGACTCATGGACGACGCATGGACGACTCATGGACGCTATATGGACGAGTCATGGACGCTACATGGACGCCATATGGACGACGCATGGACGACACATGGACGACGCATGGACGATGCATGGACGCCACATGGACGACCAATGGACTCAATATTTTACACATAATCTCATGAGTTTCCAAAGTAATTTCGAATTTCCTTTTAAAACCTTCATGTACAAGCGACTACTGACAGGGCTGGTTAGACCCTATAGTGGCTCGGGTCTAACTAGCCTTCAGGTCAGGGTTCAGGTCAGGGTTCAGGTCAGGGTTCAGGTCAGGGTTCAGGTCAGGGTTCAGGTCAGCGAAATGGCGGGGTTAAGCGTCATTACGAAATTTGGGTTCAGATCGTGAAAAGAAAGAAGAATTCATTAAGACGAGGAACGGGGTTCAATATAAGCCCCAAGGCAGGGCTCATAATAAGACAACAGGGGTTCAATATAAGCCCCGAGGCAGGGCTCTTAATAAGACAACAGGGGTTCAAAATAAGCCCCGAGGCAGGGCTCATAATAAGACAACAGGGGTTCAATATAAGCCCCGAGGCAGGGCTCTTAATAAGACAACAGGGGTTCAATATAAGCCCCGAGGCAGGGCTCTTAATAAGACAACAGGGGTTCAA